TATATATATGATAGCAGAGTCGTGGCCTGAACTCAGGTAATCTGAGTCGAGGCTCCTAACCCCAGTCACATGACTTGTCCAACACTCTGAGACAAACTGTAGCTATACCCTGTCCATGCCTAAGGCAGGTGTGAAACAGGAAGCAGGACAGGGATGTGCCTGCCAGTGTGTGGGGCGTGGCCACTCTTTCTCTCCCCTGACATCCACAGCCTCAGCCAGTTAGAGGTGCCAAACCTCAGACACATGGAGAAACACCCTGCACCACCTCAACTGCAGGGTACTTCCTGTGCAGCAATGCTAGGCCGCAGCATTCTGCAGGTCACCTAGAACCATCAAGGCTGCCCCCGGAAACCCTTAAGGCACAAAAGGGTTAGCAGCAGCTGGTAAGCCATCAGAGCTGCTGAACACACATGTAACCCACCTGAGGCATTGCTGAGGGACACATGTTCCTGTCCTAGAGCAGTATGGCTGGTGCCAGGGAGCACACTGAAAGTCTCTACAACCTGCAGCACCAACAGAACATGGTTTGATGACTTGGGCTCCAGCCAAACAGACCCTGATCTGCTCATCCTCCACCCCCGCCTGGGAAAGTCACTGGAGAGGGAAGGACCCTGTAGGTTCTCTTCTAGTCCCCAGGGTGCAGCCTTTAGACAAGCTATACTGGACAGCTGAGGTGATGCTCCCAAGGGCCCCCCAATTCCTCCTTCCAGGACAGTGGGGCGGAGTGATTTCTGTCATCTTTCCCAGAATCTTCTACATCTTAACTTGTTATGTTCATGCCGAGGGATGGGAGCAACCATTTGTGCCCGTTCCTCCCAGTCAAACAGCCCACCCTAGCTGCCAGCCCAGCACTGCTGACAGCAGGGATGAGAGCCAGGCACAGCAACCAGTCTGGTCACTGCTGTCAGGTATGCTGTGTCTGCTCTTCTAAACTAGCTCTAGGCCAAGAGCTTCAGAATCTAGCTCCATCCTTGCTCCTTGGCTGAGTACACACACCCTGTACAGCAAGGCCTGGAAATAACTGCTCTCTGGATCAGACAGCTGGGAAGTTGCTTTTGTCACCCCCACATGACCAAGACAGGGAAGTTTATGTCCCAGTCTTCTAGGAACACGGCTGTCCTGTCCCTCTGAGGAAATGCCATACTCTGTATGATTTGAACTCAGAGCAAGGGACTGGGCATGGAGACAGAGCACAGGGTGTGGGAAAGAGCAGTACAAACCTGCATGGAATGGCATGAGGTCACCATGGCAGGGGTATGTTGGCAAGTGCCCAGGTCGGCAGCAGGGAGACCTGGGTCAAGTCCTGAGTTCCGTTTCTCACTTGCTCCGTGACCTGTGGCCACTACCTTCTTCACTCAGTTTCCCCAGCAGCAACTCTCTAAGGTGTGAGTGTCGATTTCAGGCCTCTAGAAGTACTGCTAGAATTGCAGTTTTCAGTCCTGGCCCCAGACAGACCAACTACAGGTACCATTCAAGAATCTGCCCTTTAAATAGGTCTTTGAGGTCTCGAATGCCAACCACATGTAGACCATCTCATGAGATGTGCTAGGCCGGTAGGAAGGGCCAGGAAGGCCTTAAGGCAGGGGTGACAAGGTGTGTCATCCAGAAGAAATCCCAGGGCCATACTGGGAAGCTTTGGCTGAAAGACAGGACCCAGGAGGGCCTGACTCTGTGCTGGGCTCCATTGGCGCACGCTTTTCTGACAACTAACCAGCCCGACGCACCTTTCACTCTTCACTCTGTTTATTTCTAGAACACAAACGTGCCTTCCTTTTGCTCTTTCTTCTTCCTTCCTCCCTGTTTCTGGAGGCTCTAGGGAGCTCTGCTTTGCATCAGCATTCTGGGGCATTTGGTAATAATGTGAAGATAGGGACTACACCCTCTAGAGCCTACACTATATTCTGCCCAGCCCCTTTAGATCCTCTGTAAGATCCCAGGATCCCAGCAGGCTGAGCTGCCTTGCCCAGTCCTCAGGATGTCCAGAGAAGTGATGTCCTGAGGGGTCCAAGTCAGCCCCAGAAGGGCACCGTCAGTGGGCAAGAGCTTAGGTTCCAAATCCTGAAGCTTCCTAGCTAGGTGACCCTGGGAGTGCCACCACTCTGTGTCTCAGTTTCCTCATCTGAGAACAGCGTGCTAATCATGCTTGTGTGTATGGGCCAGGTTCTATTCTAGGCTGCTTCACAACTATGAATCTGTTAAGTCCAGATACCACTCCTGCATCCCAGAAGCCCCCAAGCTTCCTAGCTAGGTGACCCTGGGAGTGCCACCACTCTGTGTCTCAGTTTCCTCATCTGAGAACAGCGTGCTAATCATGCTTGTGTGTATGGGCCAGGTTCTATTCTAGGCTGCTTCACAACTATGAATCTGTTAAGTCCAGATACCACTCCTGCATCCCAGAAGCCCCCATCTCCCTGCTTTGTAGACATGGACAGTGATACAGGAAGAGGCTGAGAAACCTGTCCTAGCTTTTACATAGCTTGTGAGTGACGTAAGCAACATACATGCTGGCTTCTGGGTGCAGGTGCATGCTAGGGAATGCTAATCCTATTAACCATAGCTCACATAGCAGGGGCAAAGGGAACCCCTTGGAACACTGCTGGTTGTTCTGAGCATGCACCAAGGTGGCAGGGTGTATTATTGCTGCCGTTACTGTTTGTCTCGCTCTCTCCTCCCTGCAAAGCAGGATGATCAGCCTGGGTGACCACAGCAATGTAGAATAGCTCAGAACAGGGTAACAAGGAGCCCAAGACACCAAGTTCCTGTTTGTTACCCCTATGACATACTTGTACCAAGACAGCAAAACTAGACCTCGCTTCTCCTCTCTCTGAGTCGGGGGGTCGAGGGCAAGAGGAGCAAAGCTTCTTCTCTGCCTCCACACAGGCATCTGACAAGCTTTGGGGAGAGCCTTGGGACACACACTGGACAGAAACTTCTTACCAGGAACTCCCAGAAACTATTCTTAGGGAACCTCTCTCTTGCTTTTAACTTTGACATCTTCCAGAAGTTTCCTTGCACAAAAGCAACCCTACCGTGGCTGTAATTTCCGTGTCACATAGCTGTGCACAGCACACTCCACCCACTTCAACTGGCTCCCCCACAAGCACCTTCCCCTGCCCGCCCCACACAGAACGGCTTCTGCCTCTCTTCAGCAACCCGCCTTCCCCCTTTCACCAGGGGAAAGTGAGGTAGGGGAATTGACAGAGGAAGGGGGGGGTGCAACTTCGGCTAAAGTCAAGCTTTGGATGGAGCTGCTCCGTTTCTAAGCCGAGTATCACTTCTGCTTGCTTGGTGGTCCATGTCGTCATGGCAACGGCCCAGAGCCCCAACCTGGGAGCCCTCCCCACCAATGTGAGCCACTTACAGTGATGGTGTTCTCCTTGCTCTGTTTTTTTCCAGGCGACGAGGATCCCAGGTTCTGGGGAGAGAGGTGAGAAACATCATCAAAGCTATTCTCCATGTTGGACATCTTTTTCCCCATTTCGGTTCCCCGGGGGTGGAGGGATTGGTTGAGAGCCCTGTGCTGGGGAAGTTCAAGGATTTCAGCCTGCCATTAACTCCTGAATCACCATATTCTGGGCCAGGGCAGGCAGGAGCATCTTGGAGCCCTGGTTGTGTCTGGAGTGTTCAGGCTCCTGGCACAGTGGAGGAAGGCTAAGCACAGGCTCCAGGGAACTGCTTCAAACCAGGTCTCCCCTCCTTTCCTCTCCAACTGGGATTTGGGGAGTTAACCCCTCCGCTGCCCTCTGCCGGTAACTGGCCTGCATTGCTTGCTGTCTAAGCAGCAAAATGGAATTGTAGGGGAGCAGAGAGTTAAGGCAGATTGTAGGCCACCACCCCCTGGCACCGAGGACTCAGCACGTGACACCTTATTCTAAAACCCCCGAGTCCATAATGTCAAACGGTGAATACATGGAACAGGCACGGGGCGCTGTTCAGCCACCCAGTGACTTGCTACTCTGCCAGCTCCGGAGCTATAGAGATTTCTCAGCCAAGCAGAATGTCTTTCTGGATTGCCTTTTTATGTCATCCCCGTTGCCAGCAAGAAAACCAGAGTCCTGAGTACCCTTGTGCTCACCTCTGTGTCAGTGGACGGCCAAAGACCCAGGATCACATGGGTGGAGCTAGCTGGTCAAGGGTGGTTAGCTCAAAGAGCCACATTTAACACAAGAGAATGTTCAGTCCTGAGTGAGATTTCAGCAGTTATACTCAGGAGTTTGCTCCTCAGCCCCCCGAGGTCAGACCTTAAGTGCCACCTGTCCCATGATCCCTGATGGCCTGGGAAGCAGCTCTGCTGAGGCACAGTGGGTAGCCATCCTATGTGTGTTCTGGGGCTGACATGAGTCCTGCCCTATCCAGTAGAGTGTGAGGAAGTGAAGTGTCACTTTATCAACAGAAGGAAAAGTACAAAGGGCTTTGCCATCGAGCCTCAGGGAAGCCAGGTGCTCTCACCCACCCTCGGCCACACAACCCTAGACCCCTGGTGTGGTGAACACCTGTGTGTGAGTTACCCCTGCCTCGGGAAGCCATCAGGGAGCCAGGCCAAAGGGAACTTGCTGGAGTCCCTGTCTGTGCACTCTCCTTACCACCTTGCTTGGGCTAGTAAATCGTTCCCTCATAAACATGGCCGTCCTTGGAACTCTTGGTGAAAAGGAACTTTAAGGAACACCCATTTAATGGATGACTTGGAAACCCTGACCATGGAAGACTTCTGACTTCTAAGATCCTCAGTTTGGCTATCTGCAAAATGGATTTTCATCATTGATCCTCAAGCTTTGAGTGAGTGACCAGCAGGTCCTGGTCTCCAGTGCAGCCCAGTTCCTCTCAGGTTGTATCTGGATACTTCACTGGAGGCACACTGACCTGATTAATTGTCAATCATTTTACCCAGGTGCCTCTGCTTAGAGCAACTCCTCTGGCCATCCTGACAAGCTCTCAGGCAATGTCAAGTGCTTGTGGCCAATTACAGTTTCTGTAGGCATTTGAAGGTACCACTTCCTGGCCTGTACCCTTCCAAGCTAACACTTCTCTTCTGGGACACTTGCCAAATATGCCTAGGGAAGAAGGCAAGCAGGAGCTGTACAAGAGTCCCTAGTGCCAATCACTAAGAAGAGGCGAGGACAGAAGTCCCCCCATGGTTCCTCCACACAGGAAGGGGGCAAGCCTGCCTCTGAAGTAGATTCTGTGTTTTGCAGTCTTCTCTCAGGAAAAACACTGTGCTGAGCGGCCCATGGTTGGTGCTGGAGAGCCATAGGCGCTGGTGGCCTTGGCCATAGGTTTATAGTCTACATATGGCCGCTGCTACTAGAGGTAAGTAGGATCAGGGTAACTAGAAGGCCAGAAGCCCTGCAAGAGTCACCCTCTCCTGGTAGCTTGTTTGTTTCAGCAGGCCCCAGGCTCAGCATGGATGTGTTCAATCTCAGCTAATCCTTTTAGTGGGCTACGGGGCATTTTTCCGTATTAAAGACTGTGAAACTGAGCCTTGCAGAAAATACATGGTCCAGGGTCACAAGGCCAGGAAATGGGGGGGGGGGGTAGGAAAAAGAACCCAAGCCTGCATTGTTCTTTCCCATCTCCTGCCACCTCTCTACCTTGACACTTTGTATTTTGTTTCCCCGGTGTCTTTTCAGGAGGTGGGGGCAAAAATTTCTCAAATCTCCACCATCCATGAACACCTATTTCATGACCATTGTGTGCAAGATTATGTGAAATGAGATGTGTAGCCAAGGTGCACCCCCTTCCTGTAACTTGGACCAGGATAAGAATACAAATTACACATCGAGCATGGAAGTTGTACACGTGGGTGTCAGTGCCACCCCTCGTTTATGCCCTGTTAGCTGTGTATCACTGTAAGCAGTGATGATACAGGGGGTGCAGGCATGGACATCATAACCTCAGATTCTGCATTTGCTACTGCTGATCTGTGTCTAGCACCTCAACCTTGTATATATGTACACACATCATATATGAGCATGTATACACACACACACACACACACTCACACCTCACAGCAGTCCACCAAAGGGCCCAGAAGGCATGACATGACACATCATCACAGTGACGCTTACTAGCTGCAAATTGGTTTCTAAATATCACTCCCCACTGAAAGGAGCACAAGTCTCTTGAAACATGGCTAATTCCAAAGACAAAGTAGATGAAGCATCTTACTGTGCCAGGAGGTAAGAAAATACTCAAAGAAGAATGAAGATGAAACAAAAGGACCAAGGAGTTGGCTCATGGGGGCCCCACAGGCCACATTAGGGGCTACCTGAGCTCCAGGGGGAATAATGGCTATAGGGGTGATGGGAGCATGTCATCTCGAGAACACCAATGAAAGGGTGTGTGGAATTAGAAGTTGATCACTTAGAAATCCCAGTGTCAAAGGGATTCAGGGTATAATCATCAGAGATGCTCAAAGTACAAGGTAAAAAGATTGTCAGGGAACTGGACCATCACATACCACTCTACATGAGTACCCCATGGGTTACTGATAAATCAGGAAAGAAAATGAATGTCTGCACAGGAGAAACCCAGCAGTCACCACGGTGAGCCTCCCCAGCAGGGTGCAGACCTGTGAGGGTGTGTCTCCCCCAGAAGCAGAGCAGACAGCAGTCAGCTTGGCCCATACAGAGCTCTTGCCAAACCTCTCAGTTTTAGTCTTAAGCATGAGAAAGCACATAGATGGAGAACATAGGCTGTTCTATAAGACATCTGACCTGGGGTCTTCAAACCCTAACCTAGAAGTTACTGTGAAGGAAGACAAAAGATAAACCATGAGACATCAGCCTGGATGAAGAGATTCCAGTGAGCACAAGGACAAAATCGTCCATATAAAGGAATGCTGTTCAACCATAGCAACGGTGGTCTGAGCACACTCAGCACCAACAGCAGAAACATCCTGAGTGAAAGCAGTCAGTCATGAAGGACCACATACAGCAGTGCTTCCTGTAGATAAAATGCCAGAGAAAGACAGCCCAGAGACAGAAAGCAGACTAGTAATCGTCCATGGCTTTTTTGGGGGGGGGGTAGTGGTGGTGGTTTGGAGCAATGAAACTTCTCTAAAATTCATTGTGACGATAGGTGTACAACTCTGAATACATTTATAAAAACAAACAAGGAATTGTCTGGTTTGCTGGTTTCCTTCCTTCCTTCCTTCCACTTCCTTCCTTCCTTCCTTCCTTCCTTCCTTCCTTCCTTCCTTCCTTCCTTCCTTTCTTCTTTCACAAGGTTAGGGCTTTGCACTCTACCATTGAGCTATATCTTCAGACTCTTTATTTTAAATGGATGAATCACATAATATGTAGTTGCATTTCAACAAATCTGTTTTTGCTTGTTTGTTTGAGATAGGATCTCCCTTTACCCCAGCTGGCCTAGAACTCACTATGTAGACCAGGCTGCCCTTGCTCTCACAGAGATCTACCTGCCTTTGTTGGGATTAAAGGCATGCGCCACTGTGCCTGGATAACAAATCTGTTTTTTAAGAGAAAATTTAGAGACGGAGAGACAGAGACAGAGAGGCTAAAGAGACACGGTAACCAACACGTTTATGCTTAAAACTTAAAAGGACCTGGAATTGGAGAGAAAAGCAGATATAAAAGGCATTTAGGGACAACCAGAGAATCTGAGTAGGGAATTGATATAGCGACACCATTGAATTTGTGTCCCCTTTGACTTATATTTTAAACACTTGCATTTAAAACAGTAGATCAGGAATTTTGCTTTAAATAAAGGGAGGGGAAAGTATAGGGCAGGATGAAGGCAAGAATGAAACACAACTTCCTTAATGCCAATGCTCACTGACATTAGATGACAGGTCCATGGGACTGCATCACAGGATTCCCTCAACTTTCACGGAAATGTGCAAATTCCTACAATAAATATTTTAACATTTCCCCCTTTGCCTATGATCCCAGAGAATTCCTTTCCTTTTATAGTTTTTGTTTTTTGTTTTCTGGAGTCAGGGCTCACTAGGTAGCCAAGGCTAGCCTTGAATTTGAGAACTGAACTCATGCTCCTTCTGCCTCTTGCACAGTTTGGCCCTTTTCCATTTAGTTTTTTATTTTTTTACTTATTTTTATTTTATGTGTATGAGTATTTTGCCTGGATGTATGTAAGTGTGCCCATGTTGTGCAATGCCCTCTAGACCAGAAGAGGGTGTAGGATCCCCTGGAATTGGAGTTAAGGTCGGTTACTCCCTGCCATGTGGCTGCAGGGAACTGAACCCGGGTCCTCTGCAGAGTATTTTGCCTGGATGTATGTAAGTGTGCCCATGTTGTGCAATGCCCTCTAGGACCAGAAGAGGGTGTAGGATCCCCTGGAATTGGAGTTAAGGTCGGTTGCTCCCTGCCATGTGGCTGCAGGGAACTGAACCCGGGTCCTCTGCAGGAATAGCCAGTACTCTTAACTGCTGAGACATCTCTCCTTCCCCTCCACTTAGTTTTTAACTACCACTTCCACATCTGGATGTCCTGCTCTGGGCAGCTCTGGTGTCAATGAGAGCAGCAACAAAGGTTGTATCACATGATCGACTCCCTAAACTACAAGTGACTTCACAAGTGGCTCAGCAGCCCCTCTTCCAAATGTCTTTACAGCTCACTTCTTCCCCCACAAAGCAGCTCTGGGTACTTCTCCTTTGGCAGGTGGGATCCTGTAAGAAAACCCTCTGCAGGTCCCAGTGCTATTAGTATAAACACCGAACTCCTTGTGACAAGCCCATGCAGACCCTTCCAGTCTCATCTTCTATCTTCCTACACTACTAATTTAGTAACATAGCATGAACCATTGTACTGGACCTCTATGGGTTCTTTGAAAGCATCCCCCTCCTCCCTGCTTCTAGGTGTCTATATTTGCTGTTCCTTCTATCTGGAATGCTATTCCTCCTCCCACCTTTTTGTCAAGCTAAGCCTTTGCTCGCCCCTCCAGGCTTTAGCTGAGTGTCTTTTCTCAAGAAACCCCTCCTGACGTTTTCAGCACCACCAGGTTGGCTTCTCATAGTGTGCACCTCCTCCAGCCCTTACCACGGCTGGAATGACACAGCCCTGGGCCCTTCTCCCACAGCAAGAATTGTGTCTTTATACACCTCATTGCCTGGCAAAGACCTAAATGAACAACAGAATGTGTGTTATTGAAGCAAGGGGCCAGGGAAGGATGGCAGCGACATGGTATCTCAGCTCTTTCTCTACCCTGAACTCTATTCTTCAACACATCCTGGAGCTCCAAGCCCTGAGTCTTCTGGGGTAATCATGAGAATCCAGAACAGTGGAAAGATGGATGACAAAAGGACCTGGGCAACAGTGGGCAGGCAGACAAGGGGCAAGCTAGGACTTGTTTCTGCCAAGTTTTGATCCTTGGGTCGTCTCCCCAAGGATCAGGAAGGTGCCATTTATTGAAGTCCCAGGCTGCTGCCAGCTTGACTGCTGCAGTACTGAAACCCTCCACTGGGTGACACCAGCTTACCACCACCTGTGTCCATCGAGGTCTTCCAAGAGTGGGCAAAGAAGTTTGGGACTTCTGGACACCCAGCTGTGAGTCCTATCCATAACACAGAATGGTGGGGACACACTTTGGGTTTTCATGAAAACTATGTGTGTCTTCCCTCTCCTCACTAACATTTAAGTCTTCCCCATTAACCTGCTCAAAGAGAAGATGGCTGGCAGGTACTTTGCAGGTACTGGGCTTGGTCATCACGACCTTGGGCAAGCCACCTTTACCACCACACACTCAGTTTCTCAAATGACCATGTGCTCCTTCACTCACATTACAGTTATTGTCATGAAGGTGTGCGCATATGCTAGGGATTGAATCCAGGGCCTTGGACATGCTAGGCAAGAACTCTACCATAGAACTACATCCCCAGCCCTCAGCTATTATCAAGAACAATTATGGATAAAGATTGATAGCCTTGGGAATGTGTAAATTACTAGGTATACTGAAGAGTGCTGTGTATGCTTAGACATCCTTTTTTGGGCCCTGCTGTCTGTGAGAAACTTTCTTAACCTACTTATATATAGCCTTTAGCGCCTTTGGTTGGGGCATTGAGAGTCTCCCTGCAGCCCCAGCTTGTCTGGACCTCACTATGGAGACTAGGCTGGCCTTAATCTCACAGGATCCACTTGCTTCTGTTTCCCCAGTGCTGGGACTAAAGGCTGCATGCAGCCCGTGTCCACCTGGCTTTAGTGCCTTTTTGATAATTAGCTCTGTAGGTTCACAAACTGATGTCAAAGAGTAGCAGCTTTTGTATTCAAATGTTGCCTTTGCACAGCCTTAAAAGTATTTTTAAGGGTCTACTTTACAGCCCTGGGATCCAGGGAATAAATACAGACTTACCCTTTCCATGTATTACATTATTTGTTTTTGTTACTTTGATGACATCTCAACCTCAAGGTTCTCATCAGAAAAGAATATTCCTCAAACCTTCCTGTCTGCAGCAGTCACTGTCAGCCCAGGCCTGGGTCTGTGGAGCTAGCTTCCCTGAATGCCCAGCACCACACTTGGGGGAACATATATATGTGAGCATGCAGGGGGTATGGGCAGAAGTCAGTCTGGGATCTCTTCCTTCAATCACTCCTCTGCTTTGTTTTTCTGAGACATTCCATCACTGACCTGGGACTCACCAATTAGGCTAGACTGGCTAGCCAGTGAGCCCCAGAGGGCTCCCATCTCTAGGTTTGCAAGCACACCAACATGACTGGATTTATATGTGGATACTGGGGGATTGAACTCAAGTCCTTGTACTTGTGCCCAAGCACTTTACCAATGGTGCTGTCTCCCTAGTCCCCAACTTTTGTTTTCTTAAATGAAAAGTGTATCTGTGTTTTATAAAAGTGAAATGTATTCATGCTAGGAAATTTGGAGAAAAGTGTAAAGGAGATAAAAATCACCCATGTTCTTTGAACAAGGTTTTGTAACCTCAACATGATTCATATTTTCAAACCAGGTAATTCTTGTTGTGGGAACTGTCTTGTGTCCTGTAGAACGGTAAGTCACATCCCTGGCATTTACTCACTAGATGTATAACACCTCCTCTCTAGTGGTGACAATCAAAATATCACCAGATATCACTAAATGTCTCTGAGAAACTCAGTCTGAGATGCAGTTAGGCCATTAGAGATCCTCCGCTTTCTCTTTCTCCCAGCTCTCTTCCTTTTTCTAAATAAGACTAACCATGCCCCTATATATGTTTCTCTCCCACTCAATTTTAATTGGGAGCATTTTCCCAAATCATTAAATTCTCTTCAGGAGGATGCTTTTTAATAGCCACATAATGTCACTGGCTGGCTAGATGTCCAGCTCTATAATCTATTTTACCCATCCCCTGTTGCTGGACAGTTAGGTTGTGTCCAATGTTACAGGGCTATAAATAATGCTATGTGAATGATCTTCCACATAAACCAGAATCCCTGAATATATTCCAAGAACAGACACAGGAAGAGAAATTCCTCTGTTAAGACCTGTGATGCTATTGAATCAGTTTCTGGGCCATAAGTTCCCTACACCTGTATGCATTAAAAAAAATGGTTGAGTGGGAACTTCATAATGTTTCTTGAGGCCAAGAGAGCCACATTCAAGCAGGGAAGGAAGAATGCGGAATGGCTTCCAACATCCTTCCTCATGATGCTCAGGGGTAGCAGTGTGGTTTTGTTGTGGCTCAACTGCAGCAGGGCAGACTCCTGTCTTCAGAAACACTTTCAAGTCAGATGACAAGCTAGTTTCCCTCTAACACCAATGAGTGGTATTCAGAAGGCTATTCAGGGTCTCAGCAGGAAAACACACAAAGCCAGGGTTGTTCATGATAGGTCATGTGAGCAGGGGTATGAAGGCAGCCAGACACAGTTTTATGTATTGAGCCTGGATCCAGCTGAGCCTAGATCCCTAATAGTCACTCCTGGTCCCCAGCAGGGGCAACTGCCACCTCTGCCACTTCTAAGGCTGGCTAGAAATGCATACCCCACTCTCAACCTGAATCAGAGTCTGCAGGAGACCAGGAAACTTGGAAATCCATACGAACTGAAGAAGTCTTGACCCACACCGAGGCTCAGGTTCTAAACCAGAGTTGATTGAACCTGAGCTCAGTCAATGCTTGGCCTCCTAAAAGGACAACTTATTAAGTTTCTGAAACTCAGCACTCTTGACTGCAGGGATGCGGGGTGCCACATGTGAGTCCATGGCACTCACAGAGCACAGGGTCTTTCCTTCAGTGACATGTAGAGGCAATGATGGCACACACAGTTACTGTTCTCAGTAACATTCCCACCATCAGTTATCATCATCATCACCCCCGGGGTCTAGCACGTTAAATCCAGACAAAGGCTGATGGGGTTTGGGGACTTCCTTAAGCCTGTTTGCTGTTTGATCATTTGTGAGTAGACTAGTCTCCCTTTCCTAGATGCAGTTTCCTGCAAATGAGGAAATCACAGAACATGGATCAGGTCCACTCTGACCCTCAAGTCATCACATGAGCTTGCACAAGTCTTTTAAGTGGTCTGTTCCTCTGTGGTCCCATGCTCAAGAGAACAATACTGATGCCCACCTCACACAAGTGTCAATTGAAATGATGAATGAGACAAGAGTACGGGAATCTTAAAACATATTCCCAGCTAGGTATGGTGGTGTGTGCCTGTCATCCCGGCGCTTGGGTGGTGGAAGCAGGTGGACGCAGGAAGAACGAAACTTCCAGGCCAGTCTAGGCTAGATAAGACCTGTCTCAAAAATAAAAATATTTCCAATTCTTCCTGTCCAAGAGTTATCTCTGTGCTGACTTAGCAAACGAGATGGTCGTTTTCCTGAATTCCACTTTTGGTGAGTGGAGATGGGTGTGGCAGAAGAGATAAGGGCAGCAGCCTGGCTGGCCCACACTCCTAACCTGATGGGAAACCTGGACTCTGTATCAGGAATGTGGACGGCAGGGAGGACCCCTCGGCCCTGACAGTTACAGTCCGTTAGCTCCTGCTGTAAATTACCCTCAATTTCTCGAAAGTCAACAAACTGAAATTCTCTAACCATTTCCCATCAGGAACTATTAGGATGGCCCAGGAACACTTTCCACTCAGGGACAGAATAGGGCCGTAAGTTCCTGACTCCCATGATACACTCCTCCTTAATGGCTCCTTCCTGGGTCTAGACACTCAGCTGCCCCTACCTCCCTTGACAGGCCCCTTACCTGGGAATCACCGGTGGATTTTCGGAGACTCATGTGGGCAGTCTCTGGAGGGTGCGCCGGGGTCCCTGATGCGTGGTATCCATTCACTGCGGGGACAGAGACACAGCTCAGATGCTGCGGGGGCCACAGACAGGCACCCTTGAATTCTGGCCACAGTAGCCCTTCTCCCTCTGCCTCCCGAGGTAGCGGGAGGTCTCACATGGTGGGGACTATCTCTTAGAATCTCAGGGGCAGCTACAGATCTAGGAATGGGGGAAAGCGCCTCTCTAATTTGCTGCATCCACTGTGCTGAACTCTTGGGGACGAAGTTTCATCTCAGGAGCATGTTTAACTGAAGCCGAGGTCATTAGAGCCTAGCTGTCGCCACAGGTGTCATTGAGGGGCCTTGTCTCTTTCTACTGAGTCACGTGGTTCCTCCACCACTGTGAGTCTTCTGAGGGACTTCTCCAACCTTAATATCAGAACAGTGCCATGTAGGTAAGGGTTGAATATCCTTTTTCCCAAATGTTTAGGATCCAAAGCATTTCAGAGTTTGGACTTTTTAGGATCTAGAAATATTTGCACAGGCTTTATGCCAGCTGTGCATCACGAATCCAAAGAGCCAGAACCTGAAATGCCCTGTGACAGCTCACTTCAAATGACTGGATGTGGAATCATCTAAGAGACACACCTCTGGGTATGTCTGTGGGGGTGTTTCCAGAGATGTCCAACTGAGGAGGGAAGACTCACCAAAGTGTGGGTTACACACTAAGACTGACTAAAGGTGATGGGGGCGGGGCTGAAAAGCCTGAGGAGCACCGGCATTCAGGCATTCATCTCTGTCTGCTTTCTCACTACAGATGCAATGCAATCAACTACCTCACACTCCCTTACTATGCCTTCCCTGTCATGATGGACTGCATCCTCTCAAAATAAACCCTTCCCTTCTAAAAGTGTGTGTGTGTGTGTGTGTGTGTGTGTGTATGCAGTCCAGAGATCAACCTCGTGGTGTTATTCCACCTTGGGTCTCTTACTGGGACTGGTCAGGCTAGGCTTCTGGACAGCAAGGTTCAAGGATCTGCCTTCTCTGCCTCTCCAGTTCTGGGGTTACAGACATGCATTGCCACATCTGGCTTTTTATGTAGTTGCTGGGGATGGAACTCAGGTCCTCATGCTTGCACAGCAAGCACTTTACCCACTGAGCCAGCTCCCCAGCTCCTTAAGTTGCTTCTGTCAGGTTATTTCATCACAGCAATGAGAAAAGTAACTGAAAAGCACTCCAAATCCAAAGCATTTGAGCATCACGTTAGTGCTCAAAAATGTGTAGAGCTGGATTTGGGGATATTTAACCTGCGTAAGGGAAAAGAGTAGTTGTGATGTTTGGCTCTACTAACTAATAAGCAAAGGTCACATACAGAAATTCTTGAGCCTCAGTTTTTCTAAAATGAAAAAAAAATCAGATGCTATAGTGGGCTTGATGGCTCATACCTGTCATCTTAATTCTCAGAAGGCTAAGGCAGGAGGACTACACGCTTAAGGCCTGCCTGGGCTACAGAGTGATGTCTAGACTAACCTGGACAACTTAGGAAGATGTCTCAAAAATAAAAATAAAAAGGCTGGGGATATGGTTTAGTGGTGGAATGCCTGCCTAGCATGTACAAGGCCCTGGGCTCAAGCCTTAGAAACATACACACAACACACACACACACACACACAGACACACACACACAGACACACACACAGATACCTCTCTGAAATAGATGCCTCTTGAGGGGTACTTGCTTGTACACCCAGTGGGTGCTGATAAGCTTTCTCTTGAGGGGCAGGGAAAACCCTGATTTGTAAAGTCTCCTTATTACCATGGCTAAACTCACCCACCACAGTCAGCTCCAAGCCCCCAGCCCTTCTGCCCACTCCTAACCTCATGGATTCACTCTGATACCCACATTCTCCCCCAGGTACATGAACTTAGGGGAGCCATTTCTCCTCCACTTAGGAAAATGGGTGTGATTCCACTTAGTCTCTAAACCTGCTTAATTAGTATTATACTCAAGCAAGCAACGCATGTGAGAGATCCCTGTCTTCTACAGAACTTCGTTTAAAAAAAAGAAGGGGCCAGGGAAGCTGCTGCTTTGGCCGAATTTAGCCCCTGTACCATCCACTTGCACCGTCTCTGAAAACCAGGAGAGTAAGTTGTCCTCATGCCCCAGGCGGGGAGAGACTGCAGATGGATATACACATATAGAAAGAATGGTCGGACTGCAGGAATGCATAGGAACGAATGTCCAACTCAGTTCTTACACAAGCTCTGCATGGTGGCAGGAAGTACAGGACAAAATATCTACAAGTCTCTATTCCATTTGAATGTGAAATGCCCACCACAGGCTCATGTGTTTGAACACTGGTCCCCAGCTGGTAGCAGTATTCTGGGAGGCCGTGGACCCTTTTGGACAGGGGGACATACAACTGTGAATGAAAGTGCCCCCCACCCCCGCAAAAAACCCCAAACAAATCTGCATCTTCAGCTGAACCTCCTGCAAGGTTGGTTAACTGATTAGCACTTCAGTGATTGTGGAGATTTTGGAATATTGCAGGTCCAGAGCCTAATTACAATTTATCTTGGACCATCTATCTTCAGCCCCTAACTAGCCTTTCCTTACCTGTCCTCCACCATGTCTGACCTAACATCCTGTAACTAACAGATAAAAACCTTTCCAGTAGCATATTAAGACTTGACAAAATCCTGGTTTCCCCCAACCAAAAAAGCTAGGTGTCATTAGCTAGCATCTGAGGCTGAGAGCTGAGATTTCCCTTTTGCTGGATCTGCCAACTTAATGCTTTTACCAATGTGTTTGAAAGGTGTCTTGACTGATGACTTTTTTTGTTCTGTTCCTATAAAAACTTCATGAAACTGCTTCCACATTGGAACATGTAATTTGGGGTGACCTAAATCTATGTTCATGGTCATTCATATAAGGCTCCATAATAAACTGTTTCTTACCCCTCTGAGGTGGGAGTTGTGTTTTTGTGCCAACACAGACACATGGGCAGAGCTAGTGGGCTATATATAGCCTCTGCTTCCGGCACAAGCTCTTTGCTTCTCAGGTACGCAGAGATGTGACGCTTTCCAGTAGCATGCTCCCCTAGTCATGGACTCCACCGAGCCTTCCCACCATGATGAACTGCACCCACTGATGCAGTAAGCCAAGACCAACCCTTCCTATCTAAGTTGTTTCTGTCAGATGTTCTGTCACAGAGGCCAGTACAACTCCCAAATCCCAAACTTTGTCAGTGTTTGACATGACATTATAAGTGGAAAATAACACCCCAAGAAACAAGGTTTGAAATAATGTACAAAATTACCTTCAGCCTATGCAATTTTTGTTTAGATCTGTGCCATGGCACCAAAATGTCTCATTATATGTGTTCAAATTTTCCTAAATCTGAAGCATTTCTGGTCCCAAACATTTGGCTAAGGGACATCCAATCTGGAAGGCAGAGTGGCCAGGACTGAGGTAAACCACCAGCAGTGAGCTGGTATGGACCACTCCAGGCAGAACCTTATGCTGGGGGAAGTAACCCATCTTTGACTGTTTGTAGCCAACAACTCAAACCATTTGCCATGAGGACCATGCGCAACAGTCCCTCAGCAGGTGGGTTTCACCCTGATTTACACGGTCAGCCCCAGACTCCTGAAGAAGACTTCTCTCTCTCTCTCTCTCTCTCTCTCTCTCTCTCTCTCTCTCTCTCTCTCTCTGAAGAAAGAGAAATTGGTATATAGCAACAGCCCACCCCCATACAGTGCTTGGAAAAGAAAGTACATTAACCCTGTCTGGCCAGCTCCCCAGCTGCTGGGGAACCCTTCTGTTAAGGTTGGCTCCTTCTTCAGCAGGGGCTTCCTGCCTGACTTACCTGGAAAGTGCCACCAAGCACGGATGCTTGGCCTCATTTAAAACATGACCTTTGGCATAGTTACCTGGAGTAAAAACTACCCCCAGGTTTCTTCTATATGATAATTAGGCATTGCCCGATAGTCAGATGATAGGAGCCTGCTGCCACATGTAAATAAAGCATACTATGAGCACCTATCAGCTGAAGCATTGGCTGCTGCCTCCACACTATATTTTCCCCTAACTCCTCATTGAATAAACAGAGCTGTTTCACTGGGTCTGGAGCTGTTTGTATCACTGAACCTGCCTCCCTGGAATGGCTTTCTTCCGTCAGTGCTCACTGGCCGTCCTGATCCCGTTCATCGCTTCTGCTCCCTTTGTCCTTGTGGACCGGTGGCCAATGACCCACAAGGAAAGGGAAAGACCCCACACCCAGCCCTGGTCCTTACTCAGTCCTCAAATGCCTGGCCAAATGTCAGTCCTATCAACTCAATGAGAAATGCAGCCATTAGAAAGGCTGGACTCCAACAGCATTAGAGGCAGAGGGAACCAGCTTGAACTGGCCCACAGCTGTGTCAGAAAAGTCATCACACCAGTCATAATACATCCCACTGTAAAGGCAAGACATGGGAGAAAGTGTTTATCAAGTACTGCAGTGCTAAAATGGATTGACTAAAAATGCTGATACTGGGTGTGATGGTGCACACCTGCAATCCCAGCATTTGGGAGGCTGAAGCAGGAGAATTACAAGATTGAGTCTAGCCATAGAGAGGACCCTGCCTCAAAAACCAGCTTGTAAGTATAAAGACATCAGGGGAAACTTCAGTATACTGCTTTTGACTCTGGTACTGATTAGTTGACAGGCATGAAGGTAAACAAGATCTGAATAATTTAATTTAAAAGACTGACTGATGTACATGTATTAAACATCCTACCCTATAAACAAAGAGGGCACCATTTGCCAAGAAGCCATGGAACATTTAAAAAGTTAGCCATGCTTAAGCCACAAATAAACTGTCCACACACGGCAAAAAAGCATAAATAATGTAGGCCATATTCTTTGACCAGAACACAGTAAAAGTAGATATTAATAATGAAAAAATAAACACACAGGCTCCCAACCTCCCATCTTCCAAATACTTGGAAACTTAAGAAAATACCCTCTTAAGGAATGTCAGGTCAAATGCAAATTTACACAGTATTTAGGAAATAATAAG